CTTTTATTAAATAATGGTTTGGGGATAGAAATAAAAACGGAAAGGGGACTCGGTAATTGGCTACTAAGTACTAAGGGACCATTTTCCTTTCTAGAGCGATTATGACCATAATGAAGGATATGTAAATGTGGTAGGATTGTCATGAGAGTTGTATGGGAGGGATGACATGTCAGATGTGGTGTAATTGGAGAGTTTTCTTGTGTGTGAATGTTTTAGTTTAACCATGTGTGAAAGACAATGAGGTCTTGAGATCATTTTTTAATAAGGTAAATGATCTTTGTCAGTGATGACAACTACAAGAAGGAACACTCAAAGCATTTTAGTTAACACAGCTAAATAAAATAATATATGTTTGTCAGTGAGACAACTACAAGAAGGAACACTCAAAGTATTGTTAACACACTAATAATAATGTGCTAGTAAATGAGTGTGTATCTTTGTTATTTTAATAGTGTGTTTAGTTTCTCTGTGGTAAAGGTGTGGAAATGGCTTTTTGTCACCTTTATTATATTGAAATTTTTTGAGGTGTTTAGTATACTGGTATAAGTTTAATATACAATATTAATGAGTGAGCAACGAATTGGATTATATGAGAATGTCTTTGTATATAAAGTTTTCATATTAACGTAAATAAGTGTGACATTCTTTGGATTATTTGCCTTTGTGTTATAAGATACTGGCTGTATTTTATGGATAAATAAACCCATGTATGTACAGGTGTGGGCTGTTTTTAGTTACATGTATGTTGTGTGTGCTGGTTGGGCACTTTGGAGGGAGAATCAAGCATTTACAGTTGAACGTGTTTTTCTTATGTATAAGTTTAGTGCTAGGATAAGGAATGTGGAGTTGTTTGTTTTTATTATTTAATGGATCACGAAAAAAAAAAAAATGTCACAAACCGTCCATCCCATCTCCTCCCCCAATCTCCCCCCAACCCATGTTCCTACTTCCAATAACCTAGACTTTGCTAAATTAACTACCATTCCTGAAACATTCCCAAAAACTCCTATCACCTCTCCCACACCTTCTTAAAGCCTCCCCACTCGTAACTAACACAGTTGTGTCATCCACATAACCTACTATTCCCCCCATGCTTCCCCCCCTACCTCCCGCAATTCCTCCTCCACAGCCTCAAAGAAAGGATTTTGCACACATGCAAAGAGCAACTGCGACAGCGGGCAACCCTGCCTAATCCCTGTTCCATCATCACCCCCACCCCCCCCAGCTTTCCATTAACCTGCACCCTCATGACAGCCCCCTCATATAGAGTGCGCACCCACCTCACTACCCCCCTCCAAAACCCAATTTCTCCAAACAGCCCCACAAAAAGTCCCTCTTCACGCAGTCATAGGCCTGAGCCCAATCCAAGCCAAGGACGCCCCCTCCCTGGCAGTTCTCTATAAAATCCCTTATCCCACTGTGCCCATTCTTCATAGTCTGTCCCGGTATCCCATACTGACCCTCATGTTTGCTATTCCCAATTACCTTCTTTAACCTGTTTCCCAATACCTTCGCAAAAATTTTGTAATCTGTACACATTAACGACAACGGACGATAATCTCCCAAACCCTTCTCCTCTCCCCCCTTCTTTGGCATCAAAACAACAACCCCAGTTCTCTGTGTTTGCGCCATTCTACCACGTTTCAACATATAATTCAGAACCGCCACTAGGCACTCCCTCAGATCCTCCCAATGTGCTCTGTAAAAATCATTAGATAACCCATCTATTCCCGGTGCCTTCCCCTGACTCGACCCATTCACCACCTCCCCCACCTCTGCCTCCGTGATGCCCCCCCAACATTCCATCCCCCTGCCCAGAACCCTGATGAACCCCTATAGCTCTAAATGTTTCTAACCCAGCCATCCCTCCCCTTCTCTTCCATTTCTCCATAAACCAATAATCAGCATACCTACTGATACAATCTGTGTCAGAGAGACCCTGTCCCTGCACATAACCCTCCCCTCCCTCCACGACAATATGTGCCACGGTATTCCTCAACTGTCTGTCCTTGAATTTTCGGAGTACATACCCGGTTGGCTTATCACCTTTTAGTACGTCCTCCAATCCTGCCCTGACCCTGAGTGCATCAAAACGTTCATTATGCATCTCCACTAAACGACTTCTAAGTTCCCCCATAACTCCTCCCACACCTTCCCTACCCCCCCCCCATAATCATTCAACTGGCCCTCTAAATAATTCTGCAATCCAAACCTCCAGCGTGCCCGTTCCCTGCCCCTCTTCTTAAAAAATCCTGCAATCTGCACCTTTGCCTGCAACTCCCACCAATCTAGCAAATCCACCTCCTCATCCCTAGCCTCCCAAAACCCTTTCCACCATGTCTGAAAGGACCTACCTTGATCTTCCTCCTGTAAAAGCCTCACATTTAATTTCCAATAACTCTGATATATTCTCGGAATACCATCCACCCGAAGATCAGCCAACACTGCTCTGTGGTCAGATAAACCCACGTCTACTGTTCTAACCCTCTCCACTCCTATCCCCTGCCTCACATAAATCCTATCCAACCTTGCCTCATAACTCCCCTGTACATAGGTGTGCTCGACCTGAT